AGAGCAAACTAGATACTTGATGTTCAAGTTTTAAACTCCTTGTTTTGGAAGGTAAAGAAGGGTTAGCAGACACTATCCCATCTTAAAGGTCAATATTGCGATTATTTCACTAAAAAAGAAAAAAAACTTATTTGAAATGTATTTTGGTTTAGAACACATTTAATTAAATTATTTAGAGGAAAATATTTTTTTTGCTCATTGAGAGGTAAACAAAGCAATGCTTTGAGTTCATCATGGGTTCAGCTAGTTTATTAATAAAAGCCATGGAAGTGGCAATTCAGCCACTGGCTTTCTTCTTTTTCTCAGTCTTCCTTTATTTCTTCTTATTCTTTTTATTTTTTTCTTAATAAATGGGCTTTTAAATTCTTATACACTTCACATTTATAGTGTAATCATATAAAATTAAAAATATAATGTACATTTGTTATTGTTTAGTTGCTAAGTTCTATCCAACTCTTTTGTGATCCCATGGACTGTAGCACACCAGGCTTCTCTGTACATGGTATTTCCCAGGCAAGAACACTAAATAGAGTAGGTTTCCATTTCCTTTCCAGGGGATCTTCCAGACCCAGGTATTGAACCTGCATCTCCTGCATTAGCAGGCAGATTATTTACCACTGGGGCACCAGGGTAGCCTATAATGTTGTACATTAATATAATATGTACATTATATATAAATGCATATGTATATATAATGTATACTATAGGCTACCCTGGTGGTTCAGTGGTAAATATATAAATATAAATATATATTTATATATAATGCAAAACCACTGATATGATCATACAATAGATGAGAAAATGAAGGTCAGGAGAAATTAACTGATTTAACCACTGAGAGAGAAAAATACTGGCAGTGGCAAGGATATATATGAGTATTTAGACTGGCTTATTTAACTTCTATGCAGAGTACATCATGAGAAACGCTGGGCTGGAAGAAGCACAAGCTTGAATCAAGATTGCCGGGAGAAGTATCAATAACCTCAGATATGCAGATGACACCACCCTTATGTCAGAAAGTGAAGAGGAACTAAAAAGCCTTTTGATGAAGGTGAAAGAAGAGAGTGAAAAAGCTGGGTTCAAGTTCAACATTTAGAAAACTAAGATCATGGCATCTGTTCCCATCACTGCATGGCAAATAGATGGGGAGACAGTGGAAACAATGTCAGACTTTATGTTTTGGGGCTCCAAAATCACTGCAGATGGTGATTGCAGCCATGAAATTAAATGCTTACTCCTTGGCAGGAAAGTTATGACTAACCTAGATAGCATATTAAAAAGCAGAGACATTACTTTGCCAACAAAGGTCCATCGAGTCAAGGCTATGGTTTTTCCAGTGGTCATGTATGGATGTGAGTTGGACTATGAAGAAAGCTGAGCACTGAAGAATTGATGCTTTTGAACTGCGGTGTTGGAGAAGACTCTTGAGAGTCCCTTGGACTGCAAGGAGATCCAACCAGTCCATCCTAAAGGAGATCAGTCCTGGGTGTTCATTGGAAGGACTGACGCTGAAGCTGAAACTCCAATACTTTGGCTACCTCATGTGAAGAGTTGACTCATTGGAAAAGACCCTGATCCTGGGAGGGATTGGGGGAAGGAGGAGAAAGGGACGACAGAGGATGAGATGGCTGGATGGCATCACCGACTCAATGGGCATGAGTTTGAGTAAACTCCGGGAGTTGGTGATGGACAGGGAGGCCTAGCGTGCTGCGATTCATGGGGCCGCAAAGAGTCAGACACGACTGAGCGACTGAACTGAACTGAACTGAGACTGACAGTTTCATGTTTTTCTTAAGCTTTCTTCTGCTTTAATCCAATGAGGACTAAGGGGTTCTTTCCCTTGCTTTAATTCTGTAAACAGTAATGGGTTTTTATCTAAGAAATTATATGCCATCCATTTTTTACAGGATATATTTGCTGTTTTACAGGCTTCTCTTGTGACTCAGCTGGTAAAGAATTTGCTTGCAATGCAGGAGACCTGGGTTTGATCCCCTGGAGAAGGGAAAGGTAACCCACTCCAGTGTTTTGACTGGAGAATTCCAGGGACTATATAGTCCATGGGGTCACAAAGAGTCAGACACGGTTGAGCGACTTTCACTTTCTAATTTTCTCACACTGGCTGCTTGGTAAACATTCCCCCTCTTCATGCAAGTGCTTTTCAGTTTTGTCCTCAGTTCCCCACTGTAGGTTTCTTCATTGGCTCTACTCAGAGCTCCCACGATGTTTCCCACAACAAAGGAGCATGTGTCATTGTCTTCCCATGTGTCTAGTAATTGGGACAATTATGACATCTACCTCTAAACTAAACTAGACATTGAATCACTTAGCATCAATAGCACATATTTACTTTAAACAAGGTAAAAAATAGAACCAGAATTTCTGAAAGGATGAATATGTAATACATTTATTATAAGTAATGTTGGAAAGAACATCGAGGAAATTCCAAAAAAAAAATTATACCTCATGAAGAGAATATATCTTAGCCCCCTATTATATTCATTAAAATGCACATTTATAAAATATTCTATATTGCATATCATCTTTTTTGCATACACACATTGATATGTTTACCTCTAAAATAAGATCTTTATATATGTAATTAATGCAATATAAACGTTCAATGATAATACACATATATACTATATATGTGTATACATATATAGTATATATATTATATTGTACAAGACAATATAATATATATATTATATATATAGACAAGTATATATAATACACATATATACTATAGACAAGGGAAATTTAAAGATAGATATCTCATAGGCTGGGCTTCCCTCATAGCTCAGTCATTAAAGAATCCACCTAAAATGCAGAAGACCTGGGTTCCATCCCTGGGTCGGGAAGATGCCCTGGAGAAGGAAATGGCCACCCACTCCAGTATTCTTCCCTGGAAAAGCCCATGGATGGAGGAGCCTGGCAGGCTACAGTCTGTGGGGCTGCAGGAGTCAGACACCACTGAGACTAAGCATACACACTCATAGGTCACTACATGAATAAATGACAGAAATACAAAATGGACTTGAAATATAAGCTAAATAACAGGTGCTCTGAATATCAGAAGTAAAGCCAGAGTTACAGCATCGAATATATTTATTTCTGCTAATCTGGTAGCCAGGACACATAGAAGAAACTGGTGAGCACATTGCTTAAGTTCCTTATGACCCTACTTATTAAAGAGTCTTCTGACTTGCTTTTATAGAGCAGACTATGGAAGCAGGATTTGAGTTGTTTATCAAAATGCATATGTCTTTTAAGTATTTACTGGCTTTAATACCCCATAGTAATGTAAATTCTACATTAGTGTTCCCCACCAAAGAGCTAAGTGGTACCAGACCACTCTGAGAATTCAGTTCAATACAACTCAGGTTAATCTAATCAACTAAATATTAAAATCTACTCTAAGAAACAGAGATATGAAGTTCTTGATTTCAAGTTATTGATATTCTTTGGAGAGAGAACAAATGAAAGCACATAAAGTAACTTGACTATCACAACAGCACATAATGCAATGATAATCAATTTAGCAACATTTATTACTCATTAAGGACTCCATGAAGGAAAATCTATGCAAATAACTGCTATGTCTAGGAAGAACCAAATGAAATCATTTATAGTTTCTATGGATCAAATTTCAGTTATTATATCTTCATGTGGTTGGTTTCATAAACTGAAAATTGCCTATTGCAGCAACCATAAAATTTGCCTTTACCTTCTGATCTCAGGCATTTGATCAGATGACACCTGTGATAAGCCCACTACTGCTTTCTTTCTGGTAAAATTGCTTAGGTTGCCATTTCTTTTTTTCTCCTCCCAGTCAATACGTCATTTAACCTTTAAAGTCATCATTCTTATATTGCCAGAGATTTTAAAAGGATTGAAATAACTGGAACATGAAAATTCAAACACACCAAAGTGTTTTAAAAATCAATGAACATATATTATCTCAAATCCTTTTTCTTAGAAAACAAAAACTTCAAGCATGATTTTAATTATGTGAATGACTCTACTGAAGTTTAGGTTGAAGCAATAACTGCTAACACAATCATGGAGGTATCATAATTTTATAGTCTTTGCTTGAGCTGTAAGAACGTGATTATATCTGTTTGCCTTTTGTGAGTGTGTTTAACTTTTTTTTCCTTTAACATAGTTTCATAAACTGTTCATAAAAATAATAACACCATTAAAGAATTCTTTCTTTAAGAAATTACCTAATTTTGATAAGATTCAGATTGTGCCAAGAAATAAAACTGAAATTAATACAACCCAGTATATAAAAGCATTCATTGTTACTTTTGTCACACTTATCCTTCCATTCCTAACCACAGATCATTTTCTTCCTAAACTTTTATAACTGAACAGCATGAAATCTCCTCATATGATCATATCCTGATTAGAAAACTACATTTAACTGTTTGTCTTTCCATTTGTTTCTCCCTTACATAAATGTACCCATGGTAAGACTTTAGAAAAATAAGGAAAATTAATATCTGGAATACATTTTCTTATAAGTAAACATTTTTTTTGGCCTTAGGTCATGTTTCTAATGACATTTTCTTTCTCATTCTGCAAAATATCAAAGAACTTCTAAATAGACCTTTTTTTTCCTCACTAAAGTCAACAGCAATGAGACTATATGTGTAATACTCATACATTGTCAATTTAAGTGACTAGATTGACATATAGTTTTCTTCCAATTATTGATTTTTAAATACAAATTCTGAAATTGCAATTTTGTTACCTCTAATCCATGAGGTAGTAGGCAGAATTAATTCTAGTAAATGAACTCCTATATTTATCATTCCATATTCATTACATAGTTTTTAAATTAAAATTTGTATTCCATAATTAAAAATTACTTTAGGAATATTTAAAGAGTAAAATTTGTAAGAATGGCAATTTTTATAAACTTCAAGTATTCTTTATGAGACACACACACACTTATATGTAAAAGAATGCAAATATTTGCAATTTCAATACAGACTTACCTTGCCAACATATTGGTAATCAGATCCTGTATATTCCTCCAATAAGAAAAATTGATTCCACATCCAACCACGCTTTTGACGATGAAGTATTTTGCCATCACTCCTTGGTACACGTGCACCTAAAATTCTTTTTTGGGGCACAGGAGTCCTTCTGAACATTATCTCTGGAGAACAGAAATGTGGCAGGCATACCCAGAGCAGAAATAGTAGCAAAAATTGATATACTGTCATAGTTCACGTCTTGACAATTTCCAACGTGGATGAAGAAAAAAGCAGTCTTATTTTATTCGGTTGAATTTTACTGTATTTCAACTGGTTTCCAACATTTCATCAATGTTTTGGACATGTTTCCAAAGGCTTCAAACAAACAAACAAATAAAAAAAAAGTCAGTTGACAACATTATGAATGTTACCTGTCACTTTAAATTTAATGTGACAAAGATTAATTAATGATAGCAATTAAAATATTTACCTTCCCTCTCTTATATAAAGTAATTGCTAGTTTTGGAGACATGACTTGTCTAGTAAGATGTCTATAATTTAAGGAAAAATGATTGCAAATAATTTCAAACAAATTCCAAAGAAAAGACATATTAAGCCTTCTTTTTTTTTTTCCCTTTTGGTACTTTAGTAGTTTTTAGGAATTATAACCCCTGTATAAGAGTGGAGATGTAGTTAATTTTACATGTCAACTTTCCCAGAGTAATTTAACATAAATTAAAATTTTGAAAACAAAATAGTGATTTTAATAACTACAGGAAATAGGCACTTATTATGCAATGCACAGAGAAGGCAATGGCATCCCAGTCCAGTACTCTTGCCTGGAAAATCCCATGGATGGAGGAGCCTGGTGGGCTGCAGTCCATGAGGTCACTAAGAGTCAGAAACGACTGAGCGACTTCACTTTCACTTTTCACTTTCATGCATTGGAGAAGGAAATGGCAACCCACTCCAGTGTTCTTGCCTGGAGAATCCCAGGGACGGGGGAGCCTGGTGGGCTGCCGTCTATGGGGTTGCATAGAGGCAGACATGACTGAAGTGACTTAGCAGCTGCAGCAGCATGCAATGCAATGATATTTAAATAATTTTTTTTAAACAGCAGCACAGTTTCTTCAAATTTCATCTAGCTCAAAGATAAAAGTAAAGCCAAAATTTAAAAAATCTGAGTGTCTTCAGCTGAAGACTTTTCCTCTCTCCTCTCTTAAGTAGATCTGTGAAACAAATAGAGCTTCCTAGAGAAGAAAATAAAAATCACTACTACAGTAAATCAACATGTGACATAACTTACACTGTTGTGTATAAGGATTTAATCATGCTGAAAGTTCCAGCTTTGATACATTTGTACAATGTATCACCACAGACTTGCCCCTATGCTGATCTGGAATTCCATGATGCCCCAGCCTTCTCACTGCTCTTCACCTTCAATTATTTTTTCTTAGCAGTGTATCCCTGGTAAATCCTGTGTGTGTGTATTACTTATTCAGTCATGTCTGACTGTTTGTGAACCAATGGACTATAGCCTGCCAGGCTCTTCTATCCATGTTATTCTCCAGGCAAGAATACTGGAGTGGAATGCCATTCCCTTCTCCAGGGGATCTTCCCGACCCACAGATTGAACTCATGTCTCCAGCATTTCAGGCAGAATCTTTACTGTTTGTTTTACTATTTGAGCTACCCAAGAATCCTTCAGGTAATCCCACTGCAATGTAAATCAGATCATGTCACTTCTTGCACAAGACACTGATGGCTTCGCACCTCATTTTGATTAAAACCCAGCATCTCGCAAAGACCTACAATTGTGTATTCCATTTTATAACTGCTCGTCACCTCTCTGACCTCATGTTATACTTCAGTTCCTTAGGTCACTACTCAAAATGGACTCTTTTCCAGCCAAAGTGTCCCTCCTGCTTCAGCCTGCAACATACCTCATACACCCCTCTCTTCAACCAGGACCTCTTTACTTTTTCTCTCCACCTGCAATGTTTTTCCATGCAGTTATCCACATAGGTAGATCCCCTGCTTCCTTTGGATCTTTCTTGAAACCTCCCCTAATATTTTCTAGATCTCAATATACATGTGTTTTATTTATTATTTACTGTTCACATATACTGCCTGTCATCATCCCATGAAAAAAAGGAATTTTGCTTTTCTTTGCTATTGTTTTCACAGTACCTAGAACAGAATCTTGCACATGGTTGATGCTCATTAAATAATCTGATTGAATGAATGCATGAATTATACATTGCTTCAAACATCTGAGCATCATTAACTCCTCTATAAAGTTAAGCCCAAACATTTAGGTATGAAAATAATATTTTCAAATCATAATTACTTTTACTCTGTTTATATTATTCTTAGGTTATTTTTATCTAAAATTTTCTATTTTCTTTTTATTTTCAGTTAGGTATGCATTTTATTTCAGGATATGATAAAACACAGTAAAAAGTAGTTGGGGGACCAAAAATGTTACAAAAAGTGGTTCGAGGATTGAGTTTCATTTCTTTAATATGACAGTGTATTCTTAAGTGCTCCAGCATTTACATGTATGGCTTCATTCACAAAGATTTCTATGCAATATGTTTACTTACTTGTGTGTTTGTTTTATTATTCAGATGATTTAAAGGTTAATGCAAATATGCTTCAGAAGTAAGATTAATGGTGAAGCAGTATTTCCCCAGAGTGTTTTAAATGACTGTGGAACTCTCTACAGCACATGAAGCATTCAACATGACGGATATAACCTGTATTAAAATCTGTCATGTAATGCTATACTTGGGAGCAAAGAAATTATCTGATGCATAAAATGGTTTTACATCACAAAGTACTGACTTTACAGAAACTCAGATTGATTGGATCATAAGTAATAGGAACATTTACCAAAATGATATTTGACTTTTTAAATGCATCAGGACATGCTAGACAGTATTCTCCAGAAATTTATACTGTTCCTAAGAGTTAGAGGAGAGTTTGCATAATTGAGGGTTTCTTTTATTTTCTATGAAAGCTTTAAAACTTATTGAAGCAAGATTCTCATTTCAACTCTTTTTTTTAAATTTAAAAATATTTGCTAGCACTTGCTATATTGATTATTTTCAATACAATATAACTTTACCTACAAGTTTAGAAGCTTAATTATTAATATTTTTAGGAAGAAAGATGAGGACATTGCATTTTTAAAGGTTGTTAGTGAAAAATTGGAGAAAAAAAAATATATATATATACACACCATTTTTCTTTATTATTTTAGTTTTGATTATTTCATAATATATCTTCTGAGGAGTCTATAGTTAAATGCATTTTAATACTGATTTAAGATAATTAAAATATATTTAAACATATTTTCCCAAAATGTTTTTGATAAAACCATCTCAAGCCATGACAAGATTAAATAAAAATACATTTAACCATGACTAATTAGATACATGAATTTCTTTCAATAATAGATCGGGCTTTTGGTCTCATATCTAAAAATCTCTGCATAACTTTAAGGTCAAAAACATTTCTCTTGTATTTTCTTTTAGAAGTTTTATAGTTTAAGTTCTTAGCATATATTATCCAATTTGAATCAAACTTTGTATATGGCTCAAGATATGAATTGCAGTTTGATGTTTTGCTTATGAATATCCAATATTTCTAGCCCCATTTGCTGAAAAGTGCATCCTTTCTCTGCTGAATTGCCTTTGTAACTCTGTCAAAAATCAGTTGTATATTTATGTGTGTTTATATATTTTTGGACTCATATATATTTGCTTGTTCATCTTTATACCCATAGAACACTCTCTTGATCACTATAATTTGCAAGCCTGGAAATCAAATAATCTTAGTCCTCCAACTTAATCTTTTAAGTCTTTTAATTTCCTTTTTTTTTTTGTTATTATAGAACTTCTTGCATTTTCCATCAGATTTTATAGTTACCTTGCATTTTATATATAAAAATCTGTGGGGATATTAATGGGGATTGCATTGAATCTTTAGATAAATTTGAGAAAAATGAACATCATAACAACATTGACTCTCCCAAGTTATGAACACTGTATGTATCTCTCAGTCATGTTTTGTATATTTCAGTATATAAGCCTTGTTTACCTTTTGTCAATTATGACCCGAGTGTTTTCATTTTTTTCATGCTATCACTTTATCATATTTTCATTGTTAACCACTTTTTTGAGGTAAGATTGAACTACAAAGAGCTGAAATATTCATTGTATACGACTTGATGAGTTTGGACATTGTTAAGAGAAAACACAGACACATCCTAGTCTGGCATGAGTATATGATAACAGATTGAAAATCATATCTGATTACAGACTTGTATCCAGATATATAAAGAATTCTCAAAATCAACCATCAAAAAACACAAAACCCAATAAAAATTGGAAGAAGATTTGAATTGACACTTCACCTAAGAAGACAGAGGGCAAAAAGTATATGAAAAGATATTCAGCATCATTCATTATTTGAGAAATTTAAACTAAAATGACTGATGACTAGCATATGTTAGTGAGGATGTGGGAGAATAAGAACTCTTTTACACCTTCGATGGGATTGTCAAATAAGATAAACTCTTTGGAACACAGTGTAGTAAGTTGAAAAATGGCCCCTCAAAGATGTTTATATCCTGAATTCTAAAATATGGATATATATATATATATATATGCTACTTTACAGGGTAAAGAAACTAGAGATATGACTCACTGAAAATCTTGGGAATTTAGGAGATCATTCTGGATCATTTAGACAAAATCAACAGTGGCTCAGATAGTAGAGAACTTCCCTTATCTATTTGTCAGGGCTGGTACACTGGGAAGACCGAGAGGGATGGGATGAGGAGGGAGGTGGGAGGGGGGATCAGGATGGGGAACACATGTAAATCCATGGCTGATTCATGTCAATGTATGGCAAAAACCACTACAATATTGTAAAGTAATTAGCCTCCAACTAATAGAAATAAATGAAAAAAAAAAAAAAAAAGAACCTGCCTGCAATGCAGGAGACCTGGGTTCAGTTCCTGGGTTGGGAAGATCCCTTGGAGAAGGGAATGGTGGCCCACTACAGCATTCTTGCGTGGGAAATCTCATGGACAGAGGAGCTTGTGGGGGCTACAGTCCACTGGGTCACAAAGAGTCAGACACAACTGAGTGACTAGCACTTTCATTTTCTTTCAATATGATCACAGGGGTTTCCCAGGTGGTGCAGTGCTAAAGAATCTGCCTGACAATTCAAGAGATTTA